AGGACAGACACACAGACAGATAGACAGACAGACAGACAGACAGGAGAAGGCCTCCCTGCCCCTGCTTATCTTCTTTCGTTGTCCTGTAGTCAGAATCTTAAACTGCATCAGATTCTAAGAAACCTTCCCTAACTTACCTGCTCTTCTTTAGACACAATGACCCCTCCACCCTTCTCCAGCGTTTAACTTCTACTTCCATCCCCCAGGAGGACTGTGAGCAGGGATGCCAGGAGCACAGGAGGTTAATGCTGAAGAGCAAGCGATAAAGGAGGTCTGCCTGATCCACTGTAATAGAAGGAAGCAGGCCCAGAGTGGCTACGCTTCGCCCAGGGTTCCCTGGTTAGTCTGCAGGCAAAAGACCTAGGTTCGAATCCTAGTTTACATTTCTCTAATGCAACATCCTTGCGATCCTAGCACTTGGAAGGATCATGTAAGATGGTGAACTAGAGGAGAACTTGGGGTACACGTCAGGTTAGAGGCCAGTTGTAGCTCAATGATAGACAGGAAAGAAAACATGCCAGAGGATAAGCAGCAGCATGGCAGAGCAAGGGTTAAAACGAGCTACCATTCTGGGTCTGGATATATGCAGCTCAGTGGTAGAGGACATGCCTAGCATGCACAAGGCCTTTAGGTCAATTCCCAGCAATACACACACACACACACACACACACACACACACACACACACACACACACACACAAAGGGGGAGGGGAGAGAGAAATCAGAAATTATACCATCCTGATTTAGTGGAGGACACATATATACAGAAGACCCCAGAGATGCTCACTCAAACAGCAATGGTACACTACTTCTTATTAGAAGAATAATGGGTGTTTTATTTTTAATGTGCTTTGTGTTTTATTTTTAATGAATAAATGTGCATTAATTTTTTTATTCTGAAGAAATGGAGACTCATATCAGCATCCAGAGACTCCTCATTGCTCCTCACTAAGCTTTGAACTGCTTGTTTCCCTAAAAGCAAACACTTCTTGAATTGCGAGGTAAATATTGATGTGTTACTAAGTGAACAGGAGGCATAGCATCCCGCCAAAGCCGCCTTCCTCCAGACATCACGGAATTCATTTGTGATGGACCTTTGGGTCAATTATTTTAAAGTCAGACCTACAAGCTGACTTTAATGCCAAGAAAAGGACAAAGCTCTCTACTCTTTACTTTGAATATCCACTTTTCATCATTTGTTTCCTATCTGGGTACAGCAAGAGGCTCTGCCTGGATTTGCATGAAAGTCATAATAAGCAGCTGCCTGAGCCGGGCTACTGGGCGGCTCACTGTGAATCGGCTGCCCGAACCTTCCAGCAGAGGCGAGTGTTTATGGAGCCTGGAGACAGCCTCCTCCTAGGAAAAAAACTTCAAAGTCCCAGGAGAAGTTCTTACCCACAACAGCCATTTCCTACCCTCAGCTTCAAACACAAGTGAAGCCATTCCAGAAATGTGACTCAGGAAGATCATTAGAGGACAGTGGCTTCGACCAGAGACAGATATAGACAGGCAGGAACTGAAGGCCACCTGCTGGGGGAAACCCTGCTAACAACCTTCCTGTGGGCTAGCCTTTTGCTGTTCTGTGCTTTTCCCCGTACCCTGAGAACACTCCCTGTCCACCTCTGCCCAGGGATGAAAAGGGAACCCACTCTAGACACTCCAGTCTGTCTCAGGTGCCCTCGCTGCCACGCCCAGCTTCCCAATCCTTAAAATGACAGGAAAAATGAGTTTGGCCTCCAAGTCACTAAGAGGATTAGCTGAGCATAGTGGTACAAGCCTTTAACCCCAGCACTCAGGACGCAGAGGCAGGCAGATCTCTGAGTTCGAGGCTAGCCTGGTCTACAGAGAAGTTCCAGGACAGCCAAGGCTACATAGTGAGACCCTGTCTAGGAACAAACAAACAAACAAACAAACAAACAAACAAACAAACAAACAAACGATCCATTGGTAGAACATATCCCAGAGGCGCTAAATGTGAATTGCAGGGACACGGACCAGAGAGAGGGTGTGAGGACGGTGTGCTAGCACCCCATGAACACGGTTTGCTAACACCACATGAACACAGACCAGACACTAACCATAAAGAAGACAATGAATGGGTAAAAACAAAAAACAAAAACCTAGGGGGAACAGAATCTTTTTGTCCCCAAATCATGTCACATTCACGTTAAAGGGGGCTTGTGTGTTTGGAATTCCACTGCTTAAATAATATTCCAATTTGCTCTAGGTAAGCTGGTCCTGTAGCCAAAGAGAAAGGTCTTGGAAGCAGACACTTCCTGAAGAACTTGTCTTTCACGCCCACTTTTTAAAAGCTGTCGCTAAGTCCTAAACAAACATCAGCTCTGCCTTTAACCTGGGCATCCCACACCCTCCTAATCTAGGCCGTGTTGGAAGAAAGCTCGGGGACTGTGTTGATGCCACTGGCTCAGGTGATGTCCCATAAGGATGGAGGGGACCCTCGACCACACCGGAAGTGAGAGTCAGCCATCTCAAGGCAGTCACTAGGTGAACACCACAGGCTCACGTGGGAATGTGAGCCAGGAAATGAAGAGCGCAAAGGGAGACTAGAATTTAACGTGTCTGGGTTAATTTTAAAAGAAAAGGAGTTAAGACCCGCTGGAAGCAGCTTTTATTTACAAACAGCACAGAATAAAAAATTGGTAGTATCTTTCCGGAGCCTGAAGGCAGTGTTCTCATGGACCCTCCCTCTAAATCCTTAGCACAAATTTACGCTTGTCTGCATATAAACTTACAGGGTTTTAAACACTTTGGTGTTAGGGTTTTGAAAGGGAAGTGTCCCCCCAAGAGGCTCATTTATCTAAACCTCGGTCCCCAGGTAGTGGTGCTCTTTCTGACAGGCTGGGGAACCTTTGGGACATGAGGTCTAGATGGCGGACTTGGGGCCACTGGGGTGGTGGGAGCCCACACTCCTGCTTCCTGACGACAGACACCAGCCACCTCACACCGCTGCTCCAGCCTCAAGCTGTTCCCACCCCCACGCCTTCCTCAACAAGATGGCCTGCACCCTCTCAAACTGTGGGGCTGAAGAAGACCTCTTCTCCCGAAGTTGCTTCCAGTCAGGCATTTCGTGAGAACCAGAAAATTAGGCAATAAATTTGGGTTTTGTTTTCGTTTTTGGGGTGTGTGTGTGTGTGTGTGTGTGTGTGTGTGTGTGTGTGTGTAAAAGACTGTCCTGGAACTAACTCTGTAGACCAAGCTGGCATGTGCCACCACCACCCAGCATAAATTTGGTTTTCAAAAGCTCTCTACAGATGAGATGACTGAAGAGCTGCGTCTGGTGGTTCCAGGGAGTCTAAAGTAACTGTAAATGTCACTAGCGAGTCCAAGTTAGTGAATTATCCAAATGAAACACAGAAGAAACATTGAAAAGACAAGGTAAAATGCCGGACAATTTTCAATACACTGTTACTGTGCATACCCTGGACAGAATAGATTTTTAACTGCAAAAATCATGTAATAAGAACACCATATCCTAGTGTGGCGCCGGGTATGTGGTGTCTACTGTGCTGGGACAGTTCCTCACAAGGGTAATTTCGAACACAATCATTATATTTATGTTGTACACACATCCTTCAATGAGGATCTCTCTAGCTCTAGAGCCACAGCATGGCTGTAAGACACTGCACTGGAGACCACCCCAAACACCCAAGGGCCACATGGACGGTCCCCCACCGTGGCTACGAGCCTCTGAAAATCAACCAAACGCAGAGACTGCACAAAGCAAGAACAACTCTCAGATGCCTGGTGCCCCCTGCTCCTAGAAGACAATCACGCACTCAGTCACCAGCTCCCCAGAAGAGGGTGGAGGGAGAGCTTCTGCCCTGTCACCAAGTGTTAGAAACCCGCCAGGCATGTGCCGAGGACACGGTTTACTAGAGACACCTCTCTGCACAGCCACAGCACAGCCTTGAAGCACGGTGGGATGAACGGAGCAAGCTGTGAGACGCACGGAGGGAAAGACGGAGTTGGTCAGACTAAAAGGAGTGTGGGAGGCCAGCTCCCACTTTTTAAAAGGGTTCCTATGAGGAGGAGAGAGGGATAAGAAACTTTTAGATGAAAGACAGAAACACAGGATAGCTTCAGGGGGAGGACCTGGATCAAGACCCAACGGTCCCTTCTGCCGCTCCAGAAGGGCTTTTTATAACAATGCCAAGGGGCAGGGCAAAAAAACCTCCCCCTCTTCCAAACACCTGGTAACCACACCCGTGGTCAAATCATCCCTTTATGCAGGCAGCCCTGCTGGGTAAAGCAAGCTCAGATTCTCAACCCTGAGTAAGTTCTCACTGGGAAACCTCTGTGGGTCTCTACAAAGGAGGGCATGGAATGCTTCTGCCTGGGGCTTGGTTGAGCCCCAGAGGAAGACCATGGTTTCCTCCCTCAGAGGCATGCCACTCCCCTCCAAAATGCAGGTACAGCCCACAGGGATCAGAGGAGGCACTCTCTTCAAATGTGCTCTTTTGGTTAGTGCTCTGGATACATTTTAATGTCCAGGGGATAAGGAGGACCCCACGACAAGGCCTTTGTGGTTCCCAGTGACTTTGGGTAAGAATGGCTTCTCTGTCCTCAGAGTGGCAAGAGTTAAAATATTACCCAAGGTTTCATATCTACCTAAAAATGTCTACTGTTTTCTGAAAAGTCCTTGTCATGGATGATGAGGACACCATGCTGTGAAGGACAGGATGTTTCTAAGCAACCAAGATATGATTCTTTTCTCCCACCGTTCATTATCTAAACACTAGCCAACTACCGAGACTGTTTCTCACACCAGCCAGGCGATTTCCCCTCTGTGCCTTACAGGTGCATTCTGAGATCCATTGTTTGCTTGCTTTGTGGTGCTGAGACTAGAAGCCGAGACGTCAAGCTAGATCCCAAGCAAGTCCACACCCGGTAAGCAACATCCTTCGGCTGGAAAGGTTCTTTGAACATCACACAAAACCAAACAGAACAGCAGGTGGGGACAGGCAGGGCAGTGGACTCACTCTTTGGTCAGAAGGGGACAGGATTTGAGCAGGAAGCGTGACAGCCCGGAGTCCTGGAAGTAGAGGTCGGGAGGCGCAGTGGGGCTCTTCAGGTTCAAACACCGCACGATGACGTAAAGAACGGCAGCTACGGCAGCCAGCTTCACCCCGTCAAACACGGCGGGGAGCTCGGGGGTCTCCAGCATGGCATTCATCTTGATCTAGAAAGCAAAGACACAGATCTGGGCTCATGGCCATGGCCGGGGCGAGGAGGGCGGAGCCCACCTCATGGCAGAGGCATGACCCGCTCAGGACGTGCTTCACACATGCCCAAAGGGTGCTCCACCAGACAGCCCCCATCATCATCACCTGACACCACCAACACCCAGCCAGTACCCACAGCCACAGAAACAGTTCTGAGTGTTGACTGAGGAGGGTACTATGTTCTTCTTGTAATCTCACGAGCAGTTCCAAGATGAACACACTGGAAAATGTACGGTAATAGAGTCTTTCTGAGAACGGGGGAAAGGTGAGTTAGGAAGGGCTGGGGGAGAGCTTTGATGTCTGTGAAGAAGTCACTTAAATCTCTGTAGACTTAATGGCACCTGGAGCGCCAGGTGTGTTCAGTGTTGTTTCCAGCCTTGAACAGCGACATGGGACTGTGAGTGCCACCAGGACAGGTAAAGCTGTACTTTGTGCTGCCCCCAGCTCTCTGTCTTCAGAGCGGGCTGAGAGAAAGCTGCCTAACTCAGTCATTTGCTCCACAGAGTCCAGGCTCCAGAATTCTATCCAGACTTGGCCTAGGTCATCGTGGTCCTGGCTTCTGGGGCTTTCGGGCCATGTGAAATGGAGCTAGTCAATTAAAACAGTTTTTTCCCCTCCTGGAGGTACCTGAATGCAGCCAACAGTCCAAACTGGACCAACTACACTCAACCACTAGACCAAAATTTAAGATTGCAGTACAGAAAATACACATGCATATCTGATTTCTAACACGGTGTCTTAATATTTTACCTTTTGAGGTAAGCATTCCCTGATATACAAAGCTTTCACCCACCACTTCAAACACATAAAACCAAACATCATCAACAAAATCTTGTCTTTTCCTTGCTGCTCTACAGAGTAACAGAACATCAGCTGTGGCCTTAAGGATTGGGCTAACTAGTCAGGCATGGTGATGCACACCTGTAAGCCTAGAACTTGGGAGGCAGGGTATCGACACAAGGACTTCAAGGCCATTCTAAACCATCTGACACCCTGTCTCACAATGAAATGAGGGGTGGGGGAAGGCTAGCACAAAACTAACAAAAACAGAAAATGTAATTCTCATAGCCCTGGTAACTGTGGTAACGGCTTCCCCCGGAATGATTTCAAGTAGCTGCTGCTAAAAACAGTTATGAGAACTCTGGTAGCCAATGATGGAGACATAATGGGTAGGGTGAAAAAAAAAAATCTCCAAAATGTGTCTAACAGACTGAAGACTCTGAGGGACTCAGAGGGGCCGTGGGGACTCCTCTAAAATCAAAGCGGCACAAACAGCGCCAAAAGACTCTGGGAAACCTCTGGCAGGGTCTTCAATCTGGGGAGGAACAGTCACAGCCTCTTACCTGGCCTTCTGTCAGCAAGACAAGAAAAAGATTCTAGAACATTCCTGGAGGGCCAGCAAGACGGTTCAGTGGGTAAAGGTGCTTGCTGCACTTACTGGTGACCCTAGTTCGATCCCCAGAACCGGCATGGTGGAAGGGTAAAAGTGACTGACTCTAGCAAGTTCCCTGACTTCCACACACGCTATGACATGAGCCTGTCCACATCCACACATGAAATAAACGCTTTAAAAAAGTTAGTTAGGGTTGTCCTCCACTACACAGCCACATTCAAGGCCAGCTTGGGATGAGACCCTGTCTTAACAATAATAAATAATATTAATTAATTAAAAAGAAAACATCCCTGATACAATTTTAAGGGTTTTTTTGTTTGTTTGTTTGTTTGTTTTTTTCTTCAATACAGGGTTTCTCTGTGTAGCCCTGGAATTCTCTCTATAGACCAGGCTGGTCTCGAAACTCAGAGATCCACCTGCCTCTGCCTCCAAGTGCTGGAATTAAGGGCATATGCGACCATGTCCAGCCCTGAATCCCTGTCTTAAAACAAAAGCAGAAATGAAAAATCTACCAGAAATTCCAAATTCCAAAGTTCTCTGATTATGTGCTGGTAAACGGAAGTAAAGTTTAAGTGTTCCTTTGTCCTCCTTGCTGGAGTGAGAACAGAGGCTGGTCACCACAGCTTTCCCAGTCTCCTTGCTGGTCAAGGCTGGTAACTCATTGCAGGATCCGTCCCTTCCAACAACCATGCACTATTTACTATAATGCATGGGGAGGTGAAGAGAAACTGAGTCTCAGCAGGACATACCTATGTCGTTATTCCTCTCGCGGAGAATGTGGATTTTCCTCCAAGAGTTGTACAGTTGGGCCAATCCGCTCTGATCTTGTATTCAAATTAACCTAAAAGCTGAACAGAATCGGATGTAGGTAAGGTTTTAAAGAACAAGAAAGCAAGCCTCCTTTTTGTGTTGTTTGGAGACGGTCTCCGATACACCGTGCTGACTGGCCTTGAATTCATCGCACTCTTCCTGTACTTCCCAAGTGCTGGTACTACGGGCATGTGCCACCATGCCCGGCCAACAGCCCATTTTAATTGAAACATAAGCAGTCTACTTCTCCTTTCTCTGCACTTAAAGTCTTTAGGGGAAAGGGCAATTTCTTTAATTAACATGTCTGCCATGGTCTTGGATGTTCTCACAAACTGGCTGTGGGGAGGCTTTTTGACCCCACCAAGAAGCGGGGCTCTCACTGGCTCTGGAGATGGGTTTCTTCCATGGACTAAAACTCAAGCTACTTTTGCTCTTTATCCCACAACACGATCCTGAACACTGCTGACAGGCCAGGTGTCGCCGCTGTGACACATGACGTAACTGAGAAGGCTGTAGAGCGACACAGCAGGGCAGGTGAGTCACGCCCTTTCTTCAGACATACAGTAATCGGGGGAAGACGGGAGCTCAGGGACGTAAAAGGCGCAACGACAAGGTTCCAAAACTACAAAAGAAAAGCAAACTCTGCACAAAGCTCTCTTCTTCGTGAATACTATTTACTCCTCCAGGCCCTGTGAGACAGATGCCAGTATCACTTCATTTTACAGGTGGGGAAACTGATGCCTACGAAGATTGAGTTTGCCCAAGGTCACAAGGCTGGTAGGCAGGAAGGCCAGTGCTCACTTCTGACTCCAGAGACCCTGATGTGGTGCTGCTTGAAAGCCACGGAGAGAAGTAGGCAAGGAAATGAAAGGTCTGGAGGGCAAATGCAGAAGACACTAGAGCTGGCCGCAAGTCACAGGTGCGCAGGCAGAGCTGGTCCCCAAGCTCCCTTTGTTTCTGATTCACCACACTGAAACCACTGAAGAAGAAAATGAAAGGCAGGTGAAGGCGAGGCTCACTAACCCTCACAGCCATGCTGCTCTACTTCACATGTGTACGAGCTCTTCACAGTCCAAGACAAATTAGCCACAAGGGCCAGGGTGTGGTGAGGTAGGAACTGCAGAGCAGTGTCCCCAGCCACATCACAGGCCACCTGGGCCCACCAGGCCCAAAGGCTCAGCTGCAGGATGAAAACAAGACACAGCCCAGACTCAAGATCTAAGCTGCCGGCCCACGGCCTAGTGTTATCTTTGCCTGGCTTTAGCAGTGGTGGTGAGTGTCTCACTGTCGCTCAGGCTGGCCTTGAACTCTTGGCCGTCCTTCTGCTTCAGGCTTTTATGTACTGGGATTAGAGATGTGAGTCACCATGCCTGGCTTTGCCTGGCATTTGGGGGAAAAATTTGTTCATTAGTTGTCAAATATCAAATTACAAGCAAAAATCTGTACTTCTGGTTTTTCTTAAAAGAAAAGAAAACAAAACAAAACAAAAAAACCCTAAACAAACAAAAGGCCAAACCAGAAGATTTGGTAAAACAGAGCCTGCCATGACAACAATGAATGAGGCTGAAGAGCAGCTGTTCCTCCAGACACAACATACTCCTGTGACGTCTTTGATGCTGACCCCACCACCCCTGGCCCAATTTAATCATTTCTGGTACCTGAATCATCCCTACAATTATCTTCCAGAACATGTAATCCTTGGAAAAACCTATCTAAAGTCCCTTCCAGCCTTGGGTAAGTCTGTACTGGATAAATATTTAAAAATAACAAGTATATGCACAAATGATAAAACCACAGCCAAGTTTTGAAAGTCAAAATGTCAAAGCTTATAAGAAGTGTTATGGTTTGCTTTACTATTCATCAATTAAAGTCTGTTTATGCCTAAAACTTCCCATAAACTATCTGAGGTAACTTCGACAAAGCACCTCTACGTGGAAATGTGTCTTGCTGAGTGAACGACATACTCCCAGCCCCCTTGCAGCTAGGTGAGTCAATCCGACTAAATTCTGGCCAATTCTAAATGGTCTGGTTTTAAGAAAACTCCTTAAAAAGCAGTCAGCCTTCCTGCCTCCCTGAAACGCAGATAATATGGCTGCAACTCCAACAGGCACCTTGGGCCATGAAATAACCTTGGAGTAACTCTAAGCCTATTCAAAACAGCAGACTAGACAGGCGACTTAGTGGAGCCACCATATCAGACCTAGGTCACCAATCTCAGGATTTATTTTATGTAAAATAGTCCACACCACTGTTATTTCTAGATGCATTCACTATACAATTTCCAATGACACATAAGGAAATACTATATACCGCTGTGATGCTAGAAGTATCAATTGCCAGGTGGAAGATGCTTTTGCTGCTACTTATAAGGGTGTTTTAATTTATTTTCAAAATTCATAATGATTTGAACTATTTTGTTACTAGAGGAAAAAGCTTTAAGGGCTAGGGGTAGAACCTTTCTAAAAAGTGCAAAGCATTGGGTTCATTGCTTGGTACCACAAGGAAGGAAGGAATTCATGAATGCATTCACACTAGCTGGCTTTAAGATAGCAACTAACAAAATACATGAAAAAAGTAAAAATCTAGTACAAGGAAAATAAACACACTAACAAACACAACTGTGTATGTGGTCTAGTGAGATCAACTCTGGGTTTTCTGCCCACCTGAGGGGAAAGGGAAATCCAGGCAGATCAGTGGGTCGCCAAGTGGGAAGAGCTAACAGCGCACTCTGAGCCTGGGGTACAGGACATGCACTCGGAAGGGAGGGCTGTTGTGGCACAGAATTATTTTAAAGATGTGCAGGACTTTATAGAGGAGACTTCCATTGACAGTGTCCTCCCTCAACTTCTTTTAAACAGCAAATGCAGCAAAGAATTGATTTTCTCAACCCTTGATAAATGACAAGGTTTTAAAATTTCATTCAGGGCAGACAGTTTCATGGATTATGACCCGAATTTACAGTCTTGGCCCACGGCTTGAGTCTGAGGGTCCTGGGCAGCAAGCCAGTTCTGCATGCCCCTAGGGAGTGCACCCTTAAATCCTAGCAGGCTTAAGTAGCCGACTGTTTACTGGGTGCTTAGCATGGCCCAGAACCACAATTAAGTACCATCTGTATACAACCGGGGGAAAACAAGCTAAGAGTCTACGGACTTTAGGAACCTAGAGATGAGAGTACTTGAGCAAGGAAAGGCCTGGAACAGCTACGTCCAGAACTGAGCCTCAGTGTATCAAGTCTAGGACTTCAGAAGTGTGTGTATGTGCGTACAATGAATATCTAGTACTTGAGCAAGGAAAGGCCTGGAACAGCTACGTCCAGAACTGAGCCTCAGTGTATCAAGTCTAGGACTTCAGAAGTGTGTGTATGTGCGTACAATGAATATCTATCTACCTACCTATCAGTCTATGTAGGTATTAAACTAGGCAATTCCAAAACAAAGCTCTTCGGATCCATTCGACTCATCTTACGTTTTTACTTTACGGTGGTTACTCTCCATTTTTCTTTTTTACAAATCTGACCTGGTACTTAATATTAACTATTCCGAACTTTGTCTAGACACACCAAGCTTAGACTCTATGGCCATACTATCCCGAATGTGCCATATTTCATCTGATCTTGGGAGCTAAGCAAGGTCGGGCCTGGTCATTACTCAGATGGAAGACATACCAAACTCAACGCCTTGAGCTATTTTGAGTGCTCCCCTCTCCATTTTCTAGGCAGACGAAATCCAGTTGAAAGGAGCCCTAAGCAGTCTTAGACGGGGAAAACAAGTCACAGGAGGGCTGGTGGGCTGGGTGTGTGAGGGAAGGGAGCCAGCCTTTCCCCACCAATCTTTTTTTTCTGTGGGTTACCCTACATTCCAGTCCTGTGAGTTTATGAGAAATGTTGGTGCTGTAACTGATAGTTAGTATTCTATTTGTCATCTCTGTACCATCCAAAAGAAAACGCAGAGTGCGGCCAAATGTCCAGCACCCGGTCATTAACAGGCCTCTCAGCATTGTTGCTGGACTCTGAGACCTGCTTGGCTGGTATTTCCACCTATGCTGAAGGCCTAGGCTGCCTCCCATGCTTTTCACTGCTCTCCCATGGCCAAGAGTATCATTGAGGATGGAGGCCCCGAGACCTGGGACCTAGAACCTGTTCTGCCTGGCCACCTTGAAAAAGTCACTTAGCTTTTCAGGCCCTAAGGATCTCAGCTGTAAACTGAGAGGCTTGGATTAGAGTAGAGAACTCTTTCAGTGTGAAATGCCTGAGATTCTGGGGAGACAATTACAGTCATTGGCTAAAACGCACAGGGGGAAAGAATCTCTCTGTGCTTTGTAACAGAATGCAGTCCCTGCTTTCCTGACTCAGACCATACAATAAAATTCACAAACCTCAAGGCCTTGGTTCTTTCTTCAAATCAATTAAAGTTATATATTTTCAGCTGTGTCATTTGTACCAATAATTCCATTAGATTACTCCAGTAAGTGTCCCAAAATATCAGCTATTATCATCATCACTACTAAATTATCTTGCCTCTTATCTCAGTAAACTTCTTAATATGACACACAGAACTCACACAAAAGACATCTGGCTAAGGAACAATGAGACAGCTAGCTGATGATCTGCTGGGACTATCTCCAACAAGATTAAGTTAGTCCCAGGACATTCTCTTCCAGAGTCCTCCACAGAGGAGCCCTGTTAGACTTAATACACCACTGGATAATAGATGGTGATCTTCAAGTTCCCCAAAGGGTTCCAAGAAGTTGGGCTTGGTGATACATACCCGGAGTCCCAGGACTCAGGGAGACAGAAACCGGAAGACTGTGGGCCAACTCCAGGCCAGTTTGGTCTGGAACACAGTGAGAAGCTCGTTCTTTAAAAAAAAAAAAAAAGTTTCAAGCTACGTTGTTCCTGGTTTTATGCCAACAGCCTTCCAATATTCCCACCATGTCCTGCAGAGGGTCCTTCCTACTGAAGTCAAGCCTGCCCTTAGATTTACCTCCCCTTGCCAGGGAAGTCCATGCCTCTCCCCACCCTGACCCACAACTCGAGACTAGCACACACAAGGGTTCTGGCAACTGAAGGGGTTAAGGGGTCAAGGAACAACACTCTGCCACAAAAATATGGCCTATGTCCACTCCATATGACGTGGCAAAAAAAGCAGTCAACTGTAGCCAGAAGTTTCTCCAGTCCTGTCCCACGGTTAAGACGAATCTCTCCCACTCGCATCCGGCAGCCATTTGGTCCCAAGTAAACACACAGAGGCTTATATTATTTACAAACTGTATGGCCTATAGCTTCAGCTTCTTGCTAGCTAGCTCTTATAGCTTAACTCAACCCATTCCTATTAATCTATATGTTGTCACGTGGCCATGGCATTACCGGCCTGCTGGCATCTTGCTGCTCCTTTGGCAGTGAGCTTAAGTCTCTCTTCCACTCTACCCTTTTCTCTGTATCTCTGCTTGGATTTCCCACCTGGCTGTAAGCTCTCTTGCCATAGGCCAAAACAGCTTTATTTATTATCCAATGGGAGCCACACATACTCACAGCAAACAGAAAGACACCCCACAGCAGTCAACCCTAGTGTGGGCAGCACAAGACTTTTGAAGAGAGTGGAAAAGAGTCAGTTTCTGCCACTTAACTGAGAAGTCAGAGCTGTCATATGCCACAGGAAGTAAGTGATAAGCCCAGGAGAAGATGGCTGGAGAAAGTCCAGTGTCTACTTAAGACATGTGTTTGCACCCTGCAGGTATTTACCACTAGTACAAGCTACTTTTCTACTGTTGTGATAAAATACCAAGTATAAGGTACTTGGGCTCATTGTTCCAGAAAGCTAGAGTCCGTGGTGGTGGGGCAGAAGTGGCGGCAGGAGGCTGAAGTTCACATCTTGAACATCAAGCAGGAAGCAGACATAAAACAGGATTGGCCCCAGGCTTTAAAAGCACAGAGTCTACCCCTAGTGACACACCTCCTCCAGCAAGGCCCCACCTCCAAAACCTCCCTAAACAATGCCATCTACTGAGAAGTGGGCAATCCCTGACAACCTGGGTCCCTCCCACTCGAGGTCTAATACCCTGGGTGTTTGAGCATCTGAGGCAGCAGCTCACAGAACACGTCCACATGACCTTCTCCCTCAGAGTTTGGGGAGGATGGAGTGTTCTACTTATGTGCTCTGGACTTTGAAAGACCGTCCTTCTAGACCACCACTACTTCAAACTCCCAAGTGATGAGAAAGGCCAGCAATTGTACCAATTTCAAAAGATGCCAAGAGGCATTTATTTTTCGGCATCAGCACTGAGTAACTAGCTGTTTTCCTTTGGAAACTGCTGCTGCTGACTCTTGGGGCCACCCAGGGAGATCAGAGCAGGTTTCTCATGCTGAAGTTGCTGGAGCTGAGAGGCTGAAAGCTACAACTTACAAGACCCTTCACTGGCCAGCCAGTGACACACGTGCAATCCCGGAACTCTGGAGCTGGAGGCAATGGAAGCCGTGGGTCATCTATAAAGTAAGACTTTGTCTCAAAACCAAACCCAACCCAATAAAGACATGCACACACACCCACACACACACACACACACACACACACACACACACACACACACACACACGGCCTTACTGACTTAGACTGACATCTCTTAGAAATTAGATCCTGCAAGATGAAAGGCTGTACAAGGTCACACATAATTTGATTAAGTAGAAGACATGGTAGATAATTAAATATATTTATATTAATGTTGCCTTCAATTTCATTAAAAATTCAGACCTTGAAATTCCTTTGTGTGTGTGTGTGTGTGTGTGTGTGTGTGTGTGTGTGTGTGTGTGTGCAAACTCATTCAAGTGATAGTAGTTTATTTAACTGTATTCTTCTACAAAGTTGTAAGGTCATAATCTGCTGAAGCTTCCAAAGATGGCTTCTGAATTCCAGTAAAAAACAAAACCTGGGGCTGGAGAGACGCTCCGCAGTGAAGCCATTTGTTCAATTCAGGACTCGGGTTCAGTTCCCAGCACCCACATGGAGGCTCACAACCATCCACAACTCCAGCACCAGGGAATCTGATGCCTTTTCTGACTTATGCAGGTACCAGGCATACATGTAGAATAAAATACATACATGTGGGCAAAACACTCATATGCAGAAAATAAAATAAACCTCAAAAGGAATTTTTTAAGAAAAGCAAGAACATGAAAACTTACTGTCGAAATGTCAGGAATGGCTACTAACCCACCAGCTCTCACAAAAGAAACTCACTAAACTAAAAATATCTGAAGACTGAGTCACCAGTTAAACATGAACATATAATTGGGCACTTTGCATTTCAGAAATGCTGAAGAGAAGCTAGTCTCTCCTGCTTGCAAAGAAGCTGGGCAGGGTGGGGGGGGGATATGCTGTATCCTAGAGAAGGATGGAGAAACGCCTAGAACCTGTCCCTCCCCTGCTCAGAAATGTTCTCTACCCTAAAGAAACCAACCCATGCTGAGAAGGAACAAACAAACAAAACAAAAGCCAGCTGTTTCCTCTAGGAATTCCAGAATCTTCAAAGAGGACATTTCTAAGAAAATATTTTAATAGGAAATTCAATAGTTCCAAATATTGTATTTTTAAAAACCTACACTAAAATTAAACTCTAATATCAAAGCAAATTCTCAAGTTTACCAGAACCTGACAAACTCCACTGCTTCACTTGCTGCAAGGACAGACCTATACCCACCACCCCTGCCTCCCTTCTTTTTTGGGGGGTGGCGGTTTCCAGACAGAGTTTCTCTGTGTAACAGTCCTGGCTGTCCTGGAAGTCCCTTTGTAGACCAGGCTGGCCTCGAACTCAGAGAGATCTGCCTGCCTCTGTCTTCCAAGTGCTGGGATTGAAGGCGTGCGCCACCATCACTGCCCAGCCCTGTCTCCCTTCTTTTCTTTCTTTCTTTACTGACAGAGTCTCGCACATTCTAGAATGACCCAGAACTCACAGAGCAGCCAAGGATAACCTCGAGTTCCTGATCCCATGGCCCCCACCTCTCAGGTCCTCTCAAGTGCCGGGATTACAGGCATGTGTCACCGTGCCCAGTTTTACATGGTAGGGCTCAAACCCCAGGGCGTCATGCACCATAGGCAAGCATTCTAAAACTGAACTTCATCCCCAGACCCATCTGCTCCATTTTTTTCAGAGAAGGGTACAAGTGAAGAGAACAGCTCTGGATCTACAGCGAAAAGAAACTCGGGGCATGTCCCAGGAGGCACACAGACAAGCGGCCACTCTGCAGACAAGCTTCTAGAATGGAATGAGGATGCAGGTGGGAGCCAGTGGGAGCATGGCTATGAAGCTGCCAATCTTGCATCTCACCGCAGTAAGCATCAAACAGCAGATCTGCATGGAGATCTGACCCACGTGCCCAGCCCTACACCTCCCCACAGGGAAAATGACTCACCCCATCCCTCCAGGCCTGCTGGAGCTGAGCTCACTCATCCTCCCGCCCCTCTCAGCTCTGTGGCTCTTATGATGAATTCTATCAGCTGTGAGAGCAAAGGCTCTCCTCAGGGCTATACCAGTGGGCCCTTAATACAAGGCTAGACAGTGACGACAGCTCCAGCAATCTTCATCCTTCTCAGACTGACGGAAGTCTCCGAGGGCAAGAGAATGCAGTGTGCTCAGCTTTGGAAGGCACGCTTTACTTCTTCAAGTTGTAAAAGCACCTTGGAAGCTAGGAGTAGAAACAAGAGCCTCTGCCAGTCTACAGCAGCAGGCTGGGAGGTCACGTGGGCTCCACTGAGCCCCAGTCTCAGATAACAGGTGTGAGCAGCCAACACAGATAAGTACGAATCACTGACTGACACTGAGGGCCCTGGGCTAAAAATGAAGGAAGGAGGAGTGTGCTGTCAGGCCTGTGGACTCTGAGAACGGGAACTTCCAGGGCACAACCCAAGTGGTAAGACCCAGATGTCAGAGACTCGATGTCAGAGAGAGGAGAGGGAAGATATGCATAACCTCTGTACTTTTACCAAGGACGTCTAGGGTGGTTCTCCCCTGAGCGCACCGTGCCGTGCGGCTTTGGGTGGGTCTCTGGCTTTCTCTGGATATTTTGAGATAGCTCGAGAGCCCACGTGATCTCTCTGAACAACATGGGTTTTAGAATCAGAGGCCCTGCGTTTGAATCCTGATTCTGCCAAGTAATCTTAGGTAAATCACATAAACTTCGTGTTAACTGGTACTTTTGTCTACAAATGAGGGAATGTAGGTTCCTTTGTAGGCTAAAGGGGGAAAGAGGCTGACTACGAAACTAAAGGAACTATGTGGGTTAAAAAGGTTTTAAAATTATAAAATATCTACAGACATGTACAAGGCTCACAGAACATGTTGAGCTCCTTAAAGGAAAGCTGCCTTCACACTTCAGGGTTTAGAACTGTTCGTCTGAAAGCAGCTGTAAGGGACTTTTAACACACGTGGCCAGGCATCTGCCGCCAGGCAGCCCTGAGCGTGGCTTTATCAGATCTTTGCGTGGAGGATACTGAACAATCTAGAAAAATAAAAATTCAAAAGGAAGCACACTGGGTTGGTATATTTTGGGGTTTGAGCTAAATGGATTGCTTTGCTAAGTAAAGAAACAGAAGTGAGTTCACACCCTCAAATGTTCCGTCTCCCCATCCACCCAATACAAACACCCTACTGTTGTTCTGGGCCTCGATCTCTCTTGCCTCCCACTCTAGAAGCAAAATTTCTCAGCCTTTTTAAAGCCTGAGGGCGAGTCCCAACTGCCACCTTAGTCTGCCAGTGGCCTTCCTCTTCTGACTTTTGTCCAAATTCGGTTTCGTCTATAACGAACAGGCACCTGCTCTCTAGGTCCATACCTAATCTTCCTCTGTGACCACACTGTGAGGAACAG